GGGGGGGGAGAGTAAGGAAGATATATGGAGTGGATAACGGGTTAAAAGGGAAGGGGGTGGTAGAAGGGACAGATGGGGCGGAAGGGGGTGGGGGAAAAGAAGTGGGTTAAGTGTTTTAAGGCAGAAAAAGAGGTGTAGAGACCAAGCAATAGAGAGAGCTTGAGATCCTCTAAGGTGGGTTTCCTGTAGAAAAAGGACATGAGCCCTGCACCTGTGGATATGGTACAAGAGATAACTTTCTTGGTTCATTTAATCCCTGCACAATAAGAGAGACAACATTTTGCAAGGTCAGTGCGACCAAGAGGGATGGAGTTCGGCGGAGGGGGGCGAAATATAGCTTGGGGAAAGAGAGAAAGTAGGAAAGGGAGAAAAGAAGAAGAGAAATAAGAGAAGAGGAAAAGAAGGTAAGACGGAGGCGTGAAGAGAAGGAGGGGGGGGAGGAGGAAAGGGAAAAAAAGGGTCGAACGAAATGTGGACCACTAACGTGGGTTGCAAGTCCCCAAATACACGCACTAGGAGTCGAAAGAAAAAAAAGTTTGCTCTCAGGCGTGAAGCCAATGTGTGGTAAAAGATGCTCAGGTTCCAACATCTGCAGCCAGGCCAGGCATCAAAGGTGGCATAAATAGGTTCAGAGTATAGTGCCAGTCTAGAGAAAAACAAAAAAAAACTAAACCATAATTCTACTATGTAGTAGAGAGGTATATGAGGTGACATTAGGCAGTAAGTTATATGTCAGTGAGGGAAGATTAGGCAATAAGATAGGGGAGGTGGAAGGGGGTATTGTGTATTTGGGAGAGGTGACAAGAGAAATTAAATGTATATAGCCTACAACGCTACCTCAAAGTCTAACTAGGCAGGCAATACGTTTGGCAGTGAAATCATATAGGATACCAGAATAATAGATGTTTTTCTTTTTCTTTCCCTTCCTCCTCTCCTTTCTTTCCCTCCCTCAGACAAGTTTAACAGCAGGTGTATAGTCTATATGACAATCTATAGGTGGTTAGTATATGGTATGCAGTGTCATTCCAGGAAGATATAGTAGTAAATTTGGCATGTAGTTGAAAAAGGAGTGTCCTTAAAAGACAAGTCGTTTGATAATGAGAAGAAATGTAAGTAAGAGAAGGAAGGAAAAGAGGGGAAGGGAGGAATAGATGGGGTTCGGGAAGGGGACCAGGAAGGGGGGCTATATATAGTAAACTTCAGTAATTCAATACCTAATGGGAAGGATGGAAGAAATGATAAAATAATTATATTGAAGATCTAAAAAAGGAAAGAGTCCCCTCACTGGACATATTTATTACCAGCTTGGGTCACGTGTAATCTATATGTAGGTCTGGCTAAAGCTGAGTTTCGTTATACATTGCCATTCCAAGGAAAGACAGCATTAAGTCTAAACAATATTATATGTATTCAATCAGGTAGTCAGAATGGGTAACTTTAAGCCCTCATTCACACAGGAATCGGACTGCACGTACAGCTCCGTGCTGCGTGCACGGCCGTATTGGGCAGCTCCCGGAAGGACAGGTGCTGCGTGTGATTACTACGCTCACCCGCCCTGTACGTCTGTAGGGGTGCGGGTGAGCGTACTCATACGCTGACAGGATGGATCCTGTCTGCGTCCGAGCGAGGAAACACGCACCCCTACGGACCTGCACTTGAGGTGAGAGTAGGGGGGCGTACAGCCGCGTAGTCCCATAGAGAAGGACGGGGGCTGCGTAGTAATCACACGCAGCACCTGTCCTTCCCGGGAGATGCTTGGTACGGCCCTGCACGCAGCACGGAGCTGTACATGCCAGCCGATTCCTGTGTAAATGAGGGCTAAGGCTGTATATAAAGGTCAGGAAGGCCTCTTTTATGTGCATGCATTTTAGCAACAACATGGAAAAGGTATAGCCGACATTTAAAGTTGTATGAAACTCTGGAAAATAAACAAATAGCAAAGTATTAAGCGCTATGTCACAACTTAGAGTAAAATAGACATTGGAACAAAACAGTTGGATAAATGCTGTCATCAAAGATTTCTCTTCATAGATAAATGGTGGTTTATATGTACCGCATGTGAAGTGTGAGAAAGTTAGCATGGTAACAACCATAATGAAAGTATACTATATTGCCAAAGGTATTGGGACACCCCTCCAAATCATTGGATTCAGGTGTTTCATTAAATTTCCTTGCTACTAAATAGTCAACTGTCAGTGGTATTATAACAAAGTAGAAGCAACTGGGAACAACAGCAACTCAGCCACGAAGTGGTAGGCCACGTAAAATGACAGAGCAGGGTCAGCGCATGCTGAAGCAGAAGCCGCCAACTGTCTGCAGAGTCAATAGCTACAGACCTCCAAACTTTGTGCGGCCTTCAGATTGGCACAACAACAGTGCGCAGAGAGGTTCATGGAATGGGTTTCCATGGCCGAGCAGCTGCATCCAAGCCTTACATCACCAAGTGCAATGCAAAGCGTTGGATGCAGTGGTGTAAAGCCCGCATCTGACGCTTTGTAGCGAGGAAGTTTCACGGAGCACCTGAGTCCAATTTGGAGTCCTCTGGAGGAGTACCTCCGTCCACTGGTCGTGTCCCTGGATAGCGGTGGGGACAGGGGCAGGACGATCCCGCCAAGGTTCCAGTTCCACAGTAAAAATCACAGTAGAAAGTAGAGCACAGCCAGCATCAGCAATGCTGTCTGCATCTGTGTGTCCATGACCTCGTGCCTGACTTGTCAGCTGGCTGCGGGCCACTTAGTACTGGTTTGAGTATTACTGGACTAAAATCAACAATAAAAAAAACTAATGGTACATCTATATCTAAAACAGTAACCTGTAAAAAATATTAAGATAATAGTAAATTAAAATTAAAGTAGGGCTGAAATAGAATGCATTAAGATACCTGTTCATGTAGACACCAAATAAAGGCATTTCCACTACGTTTTGTGCAATCATGTTGTCAAAGACTGGAATGCAGTTATCAACAGCCAGGCTGGGGTATGCCAATCCCAAGATCCCATCAAAATTTGCATTTTGGAAGGTGCTCCCTGGCTCTGATACACTTTCTGCAAATGTCTGCTTTTGTACAGTAATACCTTGAACCTAAAGAAACAAGTAGAGTCAAATGAGAAAATGTGTTGTATGTGAAACAGAAATATGTAAACGATACAATAGAAGGTGCTGGTGTGATGTCACTAGCTTTTCTAGATTATTTAGCTTTGAATGGGCAGATATCTTTCTATGTGTGACAAATAATCAGATATATGCAGTATTTGTACATTAAAGAAGGGTTTGTTCTAACAATTCTAAGTACTTCAGCACAATAAATTCAGTAGACATTTTAATTTGTATTATACTGTACACTTATATTGAATTGCCTGAGTTTGTGATAGGTTTAGTTTAGGGAGGCAACTTATTACAATTTACATTGTAGTAAATAGATTTTGGGTTCCTTTTTTTGACTATTTCTTCTCAACATTAGTGGTTATTTTGTGGATATTCCAATAAACAGCAGTAGAAATTATGTATCCTACATTCCTAAAGAAATGACAAGGATATTTCACTTAACAATAACGGGAGCTTCTCAAGCAACTTGTCAACTTTTTTTCTCACAAAAGTTATTATGGATTATACTTACAGTAACCTGATCGATTCCTAATATTCCAGTTAAATTGCCAGTCCCATACTGAATAAAGAAAGATTCACCATTTGAAACATAGGTTGAAGATTGGCTTGGTCGGAACCTGTTGTGTTCCACTGCATAAAAGGAAAACAGTTACTAGTTGCTGTATGAAGGTTATGCGGATTTTAGTTGCAGTCAAACAAACATATCTTCCTAGACACAGCAATTTTATTTACGTGTATAGAAATAAACATATTTAAAAAGTTGCTCAATGTCACATACTACATTGAAACTAAAATTAAAGAAAACATGGAGTATTGCTTGCTTATCAGTTTCCAGCCAGCACTGGAAAAATGGCAGCTGGATTTTGACAAGACTGAGAATGCTGAAGACTTCTATCAGAGTTTGAGAGGACAGGAATTGCTGGAGACATGTAATGGAGATTAAAAGGGACTGGAGATGGTGGAGAACTGTTCTGGAGGTGGATAAGATCATGGAAGGTGGAGGAATGTATTGGAGGTGAGGTAGGATCAGGGAGGGGAGACTGGATGCATGTATTATAGGTGGGGTTTGTCCTTTGCACACCAAATACTTATAGCAAAATGTAAATGCAGAGTGCTAAACATTCATATCCAATGTGTGCAATCCAATCCACCAAATACATTTGATAGGGATTCCCCCTCCCCTCTCTTTTCTTTCAGCGCTGACTGGGGGGAGGGGGCGGGCACAGCTGGCTCTGCCTCTAGAGAGGCAGAGCCAGCTGTCAATCAGGCAGTGGGGTCGATCTCAACAATATACTCATCAGTATATACAGTAGCAGGCAATCGCCCACTATATGCTGAGTTTTGGGATCACAGGAGGACATTTACTAATGTCCTCCTGTGACCCAAAAGAGAACTATAGCCAAAAAAAGTTTGGCCACAGGTCTCTCTTAATATTATGGGGTATATAGAAAAACATACAGATTAGCATTTTATGAGTCATTGCTCAATCAGTTTACATAAAAATTGTATTTGAAACATGGGGAAGAGGAGTAACCTGCTTAATCTGGGACTTTTGTCTTACAGTTTTGGAACCCAGAATTTAAATCCCATCAAATACTCTATAAGCATGGAATATAAGTATGGAAACTAACTTATGTATGGAGATTTAAAAAAATGGAAACAATCATACTTGTGGTTCCCGGAACACAGACAGTGTGCATATTAATTAGGGTTGCACAGATACCAAGTACAGTACTCGGTACAAGTACGAGCACATGTACCGATACTTTTGAGCTCCAAGGCTACACTAGAGAAAAATTCAAAAGTTAGGAGGCAGCTGTCATTTGTAAGGAGCACACAGAGCTCCTGGGATTTGTGCATCTCTGTTTTAATGTATGATTTTGTTTTTATAAATATAAATAAAGGGATGCACAGATACCAGTTTTGCAAGTACGAGTACTGGTACTTGCCGAGTACTTACAAGTACGAGTACTGATACATTTTTGTTTATTGTCATGTGACAGTTTTTCTAAAACAATACAGACTAATGATTTCAGGACAGCGGTGGAACACCAGAGCCAGGTCCCAGCTGCAACCGCTGCAACCCTGGTAGTTCTCATGAAAATGCCAAGTATCTGCACTGGTACTCGAAAAGTATCTGTGCCTCCCTAATATTAATGCTAAAAATGAAGATTTAAAATTCTGGAGCTAACTGTTGATGTAAGTCAGGTAACAGCTTTAAAATGTTAGGTTTCTTACTGCATGCTTGACTTGTACAATATATAGATGGAACCCACAGATTTGAAGACCCAGTGTCAAAGATTACAGTAAACTGCTGAGGGGGTGTACCAATAGAAATCTGCCCAAAATACTCCACCTGCAAAAGAAACAAGGAATGTATTAAAACAGGGATCAATATAGAGTGACTTTTACAATCAAATGACAATAACATAAAAATAATTGATTAATGTTGCATCGAGCTTGACAAAAAAGGAAAATGCTAAGGCATCCCTTAATATAATAGATTTTATACATGTACTTTAACATGCAATGAAATGAGATCAGATTGTTTTAAAAATGAACTGTTTTATTTTTAACTCAAGGCTTTAGTTGAATGCATTTGTTTAATGTAAATCCCAATGTAAATGCTGCTGTGAGTTTTTTCTGTACCTGTAGTGGTTGATAACAGAGGACAACGGGCTACAGCCTTTGGTTCCAGGATCATAGGGATTGCCATGTGGTCTTTGAAGAATGGATGTGTAAACTCTTGTTGCATAACTTTGAATAATGCTCATTATACATCTAGAACCATCAATTCTATAATGCTGTAAATGAAATGACCTTTCCTAATTCTGTCTAGTGAATACATATAAGTCTGTATTCTGGCTGCTGCAGTAATGTACCATGCACTACTGTAACTGTTGTTACATATTAATTACTGGAAATTGTATGTAAAGGCAAGGTTTTAAAAGATCAATGCACTTTGGTAATAGAAGTGATCTTTTAATATATGTGGGGATACCACACAACTTATCAACTCTAGCCTCTGCCCTTTCTTTTCCTATACCTTGAGTGCTGCCACCACTGGTCAAGGCCAGTATAGCCACTGCTCTGTTTACATTTAGCTTGCCTGCATGTTCAATATAACTGCAAATTAGTTGTGAGAACAAAGAAGGCATCTGTTTCACATTCCTCTTTTTTTCAGTGTTTTCACTGCCACGAGACATAAATGGTGATTTACTGTATGCTGCAATTCATTTACGTAATAACTTGAGATCACAAACTGCTAGAGGCACACAGCTATTGTATATGTTTGGCTACAGTGTAGATTATATGACTTCACACCAGAACTGACAATGAGAATCCTTTTAGATATGTACCTGTTTTCCAGGTAACTGACTGTCTGGAATCACATGGAATAGACATAGTGGTAAATCTCAGCAAAACCTTTGCAGGGGCTGCCTATTTTTATCAGTTTATGATCTCCAGTGATTATCTAAATGTAATGAAGCACAAAATGCATAATATATGTGTAGTGCTCACCCCCAAAGGAGCCGCTGGAATAAACGGGAACTCCTGTCTCACCTCTGTGATGAGCCACTTGTAATGGATCCACAGCACACCAGCAAACCTTGTGGGTTTTTATTATGAAAGTTTTACTAAACAAATAATATTCTGTCTTTGGTCAAATTGAGAATATAAAGGACATCAGAAAAAATAAACGTGCATGATATATACAGTATACACTTTAGCTATTTAGACACACCTCGGCAACGGCTGTCTAATTGCTGCAATATATATAATACTCAGCTTTGCTGAACTGACTGTGAACCCACTGACTATGGCTACTGGGTTAATAATGACGCAGTCCAAAATGTCCCCAGGTCCCTACACTACTGGCCAGTAGTAACACTTTAGGCTAGCCACCGTTGGGGCCCAAACTTTGTTGCTGGTACAAGTTACCTCCAGCAGTAACAAGTGGCTCTCTGCCTCTCACCTCTCCTGTAGCAGACTATTTTGGATGGCGATTTACCCCTCTCCAGCCGGCTGCTCCTTGAACTCTTAGGCCCCATTCACACGTAGCGATATATTGCACGATTTCCGCCGTGATATCGCGCATTTTTGCCGTGCGATATCGGAAGAAGTTGCCGACTAATGATATTCAATTGAGCTGTCTTAGCTCCATGACGCGCGTCGCTCGTCGCGGTCGCAAGTCGCTTCTACAGGACCCTTTTTTCGGCGGATTTTGCTTTTTTTCTAATGGAGCCCGACGGAGAAGGTCGCGCTACCGTCGCTGGAACGTCGCCCCGAAAGTCGCGCTATCCCGGCCGCTGCAAAAGGTATGTCGCTACGTGTGAATGGGGCCATAGGCTCCGATGCTTAAAACAGAAGATCTCTCCCTCTCAGGTTACAGCAGTGACTCAGGCACAGCAGCATCCTTTTGTTTAGGGGAGGCAGCGGTATCTCTATCTGTAGTACAGCATCCACGCAGTCACAGGAATGTCTGTTCGTTCATAGAGGCCACGGGGTCACACGGTGATGGGGCAGGCAAATCCTCCACAACAGCAGAATCATTATTTGCTGAATGGAAGATCAGACAGCCTCCTCAGTAAAGTCCACAACTCTCTGTAGTGTCAGCAATATCACCTCCAGGTTTCTATCTCCCCCTGACGTGATAGCACAGACAGATATCAGCAGCAGATCTAATCACTTCCAGAATCTCTCCCAGCCTGGGTGCGCTCACTAGACAAGGCTGAATTCACTTCTCTTCCAGACCACAAAGCCTCCTTGGAGCGGTAGTTCAGTGCAGCATAAGTTTACATTATCTCTCTCTGAAATGAAACTGCAACTCCCACAAACACTTTAATACTGCTGAGAGCTGAGCCAATCAAGTCTCTGTAACAGCATACATTCTAAAAGCAGCACTGCTCTTAAAAGGGAAATGACAATGGTCCCGCTACATATGTCTCCTGCAAATGAAAACATTTAGTCAGGCTGGTTTTTGGAAAAGTTATATGTCTTGTTCTCAGTTCTTGTTTGTTGTTTCAGTGCCGAGGCAGAGAATCTGAATGTACACAGAACAATGTTTACAATGGCAGGAACCAGTGAAATAACAAATTAAGAAAACATAAGCAGTGTTATTTGCTTAGTTACTTACTCCGCCAAACAGCAATACGAAAGAATACCATCAGTGATATTCACATAGACTTGACTCTTACTAGACTTGACTCTAACTCTTAATAGAATGTAAGAGTTACTTTAAAGCAATTTCTGATTACTTGTTTGCTCTCTTTTTTTTACTATACTCCTTATATATATTTGTAAATGGTCTCTAAACCAGTCATAGGTTTAGTTTTAAACATAATTAAATGTTTTCGTTCAAAGCGGACCTTATCCTTATATTGCTCCATCACTTAATAAGTCACTGATCTAAAATATTTTTTATTAATGAAGAATGGACATGGAGGAGGAAACTGACAGCATTGCATATCAATGGGGGAACAATAGTGATTAATTCATCTTTCTGGGTATAGGCGAGAAGCTTTGGATCCTAGGCTTGAATTTGTATTACATGATTGGGTGTTTGTGGAAGAGTACAGTGTTTCCAGTTAGATCGCTCCTATGCAGTAAGGGAACTTTGCTTGTAAACCATAAGAAATTTAGAATAGAAGGGGCACTACAACAAATGCATGGGGTTAATTTACTAAAGGCAGATTGGCTGTTCATCATATTAGAAGAGAATTTTCACTTTGCAAGGGAATTTTCCTCTAGCATTTTGAAAATGAAACTCTGGAAAGAATACCCAATCATGTGCAAAGAAAATGCATGTGTATATTTAGAAATCTTAAATATAGTGCTCATTCTTTAACCCTTTCAATGTGAAGGCATTTTTGCACACATTTTAGGCTTCAAAATTACTTAAAACCCCCGAAAACATTATATATTCTGAAAGCAAAGACCCTGTACAATAAAATGGTGGCAGTTGAAAATGTTTACATCTCACGATATTAGCACAACTCTTTATCAAACCCAAAATTTTAGTAAAGAATACACTTTAGTTAATTTTAGTGCCCAAAAACACAATATAATACCCATTTTTTAAATAATATATAAAAGAAGAGATTATGACAAGTAAATAAATACCCAACATGCCCAGGTTGAAAATTGTGTGCATCTGTGAAATAGTGATAAAAAACAGTACCCCAAATTGTCCACGGGCAATAGTTTAAAAGCCTGTACAGGTCATCAGTTTAGAGATAACCGTGAATACTGGCCCTAGAGTTATTGCTCTCACTCTGGCGTGCACGGTGATACCTAACATGTGTAGTGCAATCGTCGTTTTCATACATAGGTGTAAACTTTACGCTTAAAGGCTTTCATTTGGGAGGATGCTCTCTTTGGACCTAAATTAAAGAGGGAGTCCCACTCACAAAGCTAAGGTTTCCCTCAGGGGGACTCAATGCAGAATCTACCATGACTGGAGTCTAAGGGCCCATTCAGACATGTCCACTATGTTACTGCTCATGTGAAATTATGCATAAGACAACCCCTTCTCTTTTTCAATGCAGTATATCCTGATGCACAGATGGTTCACATATGTGTGTTACGGTGTGCTAAAATGCATTGTATGGCTAGGTGTGTTGGTATGCTATCCAAACTAACACGCTAATGTAACAAACAGTTACCTGCATTTTACTGCACGTGATCATAGTGCAATAGTGTAAATAGACCTTAATAGATCCTTCTCTGCCACAGTCTCTGGCCTTTGTCCTCTGGTTGAAATAGCTGTGATAATAGTTGTGATATCTGCTGTAGGATTTTTTATAATTGTGACTTTATTAATCTGTGTTTTTCAGTGAAAGATCATCAAAATATAGCATTTCAGTACTTACATCCAAGTAGTTCATAAGAGGCTCACTTGCAGCTTCTGGAGTGCTACAAGATTCACTGTACTGCAGGAATTCCAGTCCCTGTTTTGTCCATAAATGTGAAAGCTTTCCTTTCTCCTTAAGACTTTTTCGCAATGAATTCTGTCTCTTCAAGGGAATTCTGTAGTGAATAAAAATGTCCATTAAAAAAAAGCTTTAAGGGCTCGTTCACTCCATCTCCAGACCAGTTCTGGATGCATTTCCGCATACACGTTTATGCGCGTTTTTGATGCATTCTGGTCATTTTTTGTACTGGTTTTGCTTGGGTTTAAGTGCATTCTCATGTGTTTACATGTATTTTGTGGCTTCCAATGCGAAAAATGCTGCTGTACTTTGTTAAAAGCTCTGGAACTGAATGCAATGGTGTGAACAAGCCTCATTTAAAATCATTGGAATTACTGTTTATACGTTTTTGGTGCAGATAAAATATGCCCCAGTCTGGAGTTGATAGCAGAGACCACAGCTGAGGACTAACACATGAGGGGTTATTCTCAAAAGGGTGAAGAGTTTGGAGAAGGTAGGAGAAGTGAACAATCTAGGACAACATAGCTGAACTGGAACAATTCTTCAATTCAGCTCACTGTCTAGTTCAGCTATGTTGTCCTAGATCAGGGGTGCCCACTATTTTTCGTCTGGAGATCTACTTTTCAAATGACGAGCTCATTGAGATCTACCAACGAAAAAAACACCTGCATTCAGGGGCGGGAGGGGGCGTGGCGGTGCATTGAGGTCAATGGCACCGCAGCCAGGCTTCGCAGGCACGCATTAAGTAGTAACCAGCACGCTCTGTATGCAACTTCTAACAGCGTGGTAGACGGGAGGCTGTGCTTGTCAGTGGAGCCAGGGATCAGGTGAGTATTTAAAAAAAATTATTTTATGTTCCCGGGGACGTGTAGGGCTCATTCACACTGGAATTGGCCGACACGTACAGCCCCGTGCTGCGTGCACAGCCGTATCGGGCAGTTCCCAGGAAGGACAGGTGCTGCGTGTGATTAGTACGCAGCCCCTGTCCTTCTCTATGGGAGTGCGCGGCCGTACGTCCCCCCTACGCTCACCCGCCCTGCACGTCCGTACGAGCATACGAGTACAATCACCTGCACCGATGTGCAGGATGGGTGAGCATAGGGCGGCTTACGGCCGCGTAGTCCTATAGAGAAGAACAGGGGCTGCGTACTAATCACACGCAGCACCTGTCCTTCCCGGGAGCTGCCCGATACGGCCGTGCACGCAGCACGCAGCTGTACATGACGGCTGTTTCCAGTGTGAATGAGCCCTTAAAAAAACTGGTCACCTTACCCTGGTGGTCAGTGGGGGCTCCCTGGGCCCTGGTTGGTAATGGGGGCTTTCCTGTGGCCGCACCAGCCAGTTTGCCCGCAGCAGATGCCGGAGGGCCCGTCACCAACCCCCCCCACACACACACACTAAATGAAGCCCCTGGCCGCAGTGGCCCTCCCTCCGCTGTATCTCTGCCACCTGCACCGCTACAGATGCGGCTTTCTAATCGCGCAGCCGATGGGGGGGGAAAGAGGGGATTGGGGGACTAGCTGGGCTGGTGGTATTCAGATTATACAGCATTGCTGAATACCACCAGCCAGGGGCGGACCTAACCCTTCGCCGTCTCTCTGCCGCTACAGATGCGGCTTTCTAATCGCGCAGCCGCTCGCTCCTCAAGGGGGTCCTCGAGAGGCCCCAGTGGGCGGCCCTCTAACATGCCTGATTAGAGGGCTGCGTCTGCCTGATCCAGCCAGCACGGATCGCATACCGAGGCATGTTCCAAATCAGCTATCTTGTCCTAGATTGTTCACTTCTCCTGCCTTCTCCAAACTATTAACCCTTTTGTGAATAGGCCCGATAGTTAAGTAGTTATTAGTCTTTTATCAATTTCATGTTATAAATGAAATATTTCTTTAAATTTGTTAATGTAAATTGTGTGTATGTATATGTTAATGTAAAAGTTTTTATGTATGGTTAAGTATCAAAACCGTATACTGTAAATAGTTGAGTATGCCTGCACATACACCTTGTGTCCTGTTATTACATTGTCAGGTAACTGTTAGTAGTAAAAGATATCTGGTAATCCTTTTAGACATACAGGGATTACCCATGTTGGCAGAGTACCCTCAGCTCATCTTTTACTCTAGTCCTCATGGAAAAGTGTAGCTTTGTATCTGCCTGCACATCAAGAGAGCACAGGAAATACCCATGAAAACCAATGATGTGCTCTAGGCAGGATCAAAGATTTTAGGGGCACTTTGCACACTGGAGGAATGTTGGGGGAAAACAGACATGGTGCTTGCACTTTCATTTAAAGGACAATTTCACCTGCTAAAATACTTGCCTTCCAACCCAGTTCAAGTGATCTGCCCAGTGCTGCACAGTATTTGTGGACCTTGCAAAGGGCTCCACTCAGGGGCGTAACTAGAAATCACAGGGCCCCATAGCAAAATTTTGTATGGGGCCCCGTGATTGCTAGTTGTGCCACTTGCAGAGCCCACCATAGACTATCTATGGTGGGCTCTGCAAGGTCTCAGTTGGGCTGCACGCCTCTTACGATTGTTACGCCACTGGCTCCACTATGTACTGCGCATGTTCGCCATTGCCCCATTCATTACTTTAGGTGAACCATACTCACTTGTATAATAATATTAATTGTGGCCTACAGCTGTCCAGAGGAGTGCAGTTCCCACAGTTATACATAGTGCTGTAGCACGACTGTGCAACAGTAAAAGGAGCCCTCCAGATGTTTTTCTTGCAAAGGCTGTAGAGCACTAAATAGGGCGACAGTGAAGGTTGATGGAGTGAGAAAGAAGGTGAGTTTGTCCCATGTAGGTTAAACCCGGGGGGCAGGGGTGGAGGGTTACTAAACCACTTAATTACCCACATGTTAAACCCTCTTTATTACCAGGCCATTTTTCAGTTTTCAGTACTGTGAAAGTTTGACTGAAAATGACTCCATCACTCAACTCTGTAACCAATTTACTTTGATATTTTTTGAGACATACTGTGTAAAGGTTTCTTTTGGTGCTGTAGCACAGGCAGAGTATTGCTCCAGTAGTATATGCCGAAACTCTCTGAAACACTGCACTGCATTTCTCTGGCTAGACTGATAGCCCACAGAGACTGGAGGAGAGACTCTATTGGCTGCAGCTGCAGCCTTGTTCTTGGGTTGGTTATTGCTGTAGCTAAGAAGAAAGCCCACCCCTAACAATAAATGCAAGGAGGGACTTGATTGGCTAGCAGCCCAAGAGATCTGTAATTGGCTGCCAGGTCGTTTAGCCCTGCCCACCAACCTGACAAGAACCAGATCGTCAGAGTGCCAGGCTCCCTGCTTTATTACTGCACCCCTTCTGGAAGTGTGCTTTGTTAAAGTAAACCTGTCATGAAAGAATTATCTATGCACCCATTACCAACCCTGTGCTGAAAATGTCCCCCAGGCTGTCATAGGGATCATCAGCTTAAATACTTAAAGCATTACTGACCTAAAACAATGAGTCAGAAAAGGTAGAACTCTTGACCTGTGTACCTGTTCTAGTAAAATTACTTGTTAAGTAGTGAAGCCAGAGAATCAGCATAGTAGAGAGCTTGCATTTTCAGAAGAGAGTCAGGAAGAGCAGCAAATTATAACTTAATATAAAATCTATTGCATCGCGCTGGTATACAAAGTGTGAATAAATACCAAACAAATACTACATATGTGAAATCTATTACCCCTTCATCATTATTCCTCGCGTGAACTCCACATCAAAAACAATGTACATTGCAAAGTTATATCAGTTCAATCCAACCAATACTGTATAATCATAAAGAAAATGTCCACATAGAAAAAAGATCAAATCTACATGGATATACTTCTTTCCACACTGTGTGTATCACCCATGAATATATTACTTGCTTTCAAATTCACAGGATGGTGATCAAAATATTTATTTCTTATTCTTCCAATTCCCACACTTCTTATAGATGGTGCCCACAGTTCCAAGTGATGTAAATGTTACATTTTAGATCTCCTTGTGTTTAATTTCTTTTTATATATATGCACTCACCACAAGTTTTTGACCATATAATCAAATGCTCACAAAGCGCTTATGGTGGCCGCTTTTGACCACATTTTGTCATTTGACCACATTGTTTGGCGGCCATATTGGATTGCCCAATATTCTACTATCATCTTTTTCTTTGAAACTGTTTTTTGGAACAATGCGAAATTTGGCATGTATGTCCATGGCCACCTCCTCTAGAATGGAGTATCAAAGCAAGGCAATGCCAAAATCAATATGGCCTCCACAAGCTAATCACTTTTAAGATTGCAGCAAATTGCATAAACGTGCATTTCTATCACTATTAAAGTATGTTATAAACATGATAATTCAACATCATAACTGCCAAATACAATATGGGTTCCAAATGTCTCCAAGGTCGGAAGCCATTTTGGATTTGAAAAATTCTAATTCATGAAATCTTGTCCAGTTTTAGAGGTCTATAGAGAGATACTGACTAAGACTTGTGTTTTACAAGTCAATCTACCACGTAGTTTGGCAGCCATATTGGATTGCACAATATTCTACAAACATTGTTATCTCTGAAACTGTATGTCATGACAATGCGAAATTTGGCACAGATCCACGGCCACCTCCCCTACTAAAGGATGGTCATGAATATCAACATCAATATGACGCAAGCCAATCACATTTAACATTGCCGCAAATTGCACTAATGTGTATTTATATCACTACTGAACTATTTTAAAATTTGATACACACAATTACTCAGCAACATACGTGCAAATTAAATATAAATGTGAAAGGTCGGCGGCCAATTTTGAATTTGGAAAAATATTACAATTCATTAAAACGTATGCAGTTTTACAGGTCTATTGTGAATACATAACTTTGTTATGTATCTCCCTAAATACAATATCTTCTTATGTGCTATAACAGGCTCTAATGCTTGGCCACCTTTACTGCTGCTTACTAGGCATGGGCTCGATGTTCGAGTGGTGGGAGTTCGTCATGAGCGGACGGGATGATGGTCGTCGTTTTTTAAAAAAAATTATTATTTCTATTTTTTGTTTTATTTTCTATTTTGACGAGCCATCGTCGTCGTGGACAATGCTGGATGCTGGATTACATCGGTGGATCATTTAAAAAAAAAAATAAAAGCCCTTTCAAAAACTTGTCTTTTGTTTTGTTTTTTCAAATAAAGGATTTTTTTCAAAAATCTGGTCTCTTTTTTACAATTTGATTTAACCCTTTAGGGAGTGGGTAGAGGTACAATTTTCCTGCCCTGCCAGGCCTGTGCTCGGATTAAGGGTCCGGTATAGAATTTTAGGGGGGACCCCACATTTTTTTCTCCCATTTTTGGGGGGACCGCACCTTTTTTTTTTTAAATGTGGTCCCCCCTAACATTCCTACCAGAGCTAAATGGTCTGGTATTGTTTGGGAGGGGGAACCACACTCTTTTTTTGTTTATTAAATGTCATTTTTTTCTTTACAAATGTCCTTTTTACTGCAGCAGGTTCTATACATCGTACAGATGCGCCACTTTACAGGCAGTTTAAGGGGACCCCCAGACACGATATTTAAAGGAATTTTAAATTTTTATTGTTTCACTTTAAGTGATGTTAAAATCACTGCTCCTTTAAAAACAGTATTTAAAAAAAATAAATGTATTGATTCATGTCCCTCAGGGCAGTACCCGAATCCACATACACTTCATATAGACAATAAATTGCATATACGACTACAAAATGGGGTCAATTGATTTTCAAAGTTCTAGCTGCATTGACTGGCAGCCTAACAGGGCGGTGTTCAGCCCATCACTACTGCTCACAGCTATTTTTATAATTTGGATCTGATTATTACCTTCGTAATATAGCCCATACATGTTTTGCTATCTGTGGTCCATATTAAAAATAAAAATCAGTCTTTTAAGCACAGAGAAGTATATATGTTGATAAACAAACACAACTTTCTTATCGAGTACAGCTTGAAATACTAAGAAAAGAAAACAGAAATGTCACTTACCGAATTATCCCATCGGCAAAAGACACAATGAGAAATACTACAAGAATTTGCTTCATTGTTAGAACATGCGAGACTCAAGTTCACTGTGTGAGGCCAACACAAAAAATTCAATTTATATCTTTGCTAAAACCAATCCCAGATAGTATTGTTTGCAGTCTAAAGTAAACAGATGACTTATTTCTACAGTTCTTACACAATTAACAAGGTTAAAAGCTTGTGAGTTGTTCATTCACGCCTCTCCTGGTAAGGTTACTGCACAGGAACTAATGAATAGCAAGCCGACTAAAAACTTAGCATCAAAATATAATTGTAAAATAAGAGGACTAACTATAATGTAATACTTAATGTAGCACACCCATAGTTTAAAAACTTATAATTATTCAAATACAGCTCCTTTTTAAATACAACCTTTCTGGGGGTTTTTAAGTAATTTTTTTTGAAGAGTTACCAAATAAATTGGTTAGGCTTTACAGAAGTAAGGATTCTGTACCTACACATATACAGTGCAATCGGTGCACAGTTGAGTTAGAATGAACATATGAATATACAGTATATAAGACAAGGTGAGGTTCCGGCTCATGGCCAAGAGCTTTTGTGGAGTTGGCCATCTAAAAGCCAGCATTTAAGGTTAGAGGCAAGCTTGCTGTATTGGAAGGGAGGAAAAACATCACTCTACTCTGTCTATAAAGATCCTCTCTTGTGGTGGATTCAGTGTCTATGACAAGTGTCAGGGTGTAAAGGATGACCGGGCCCCTTATGGAACTAGAGGGTCCACAAGAAGTCTCACAAAACTGGGAATAATGGGTAGAAGAGTAAGGAGGACATAGGAAGGGGTTGGGTGAAAAGCGGGAGAAGGTAGAATGAAGGGTTGATACATGGAGTCAAGGGGGGTGGCAGTGGAGGCCAGCTCCTGCCTGGGTGGGTAAACATAAGTATGTACACTCGTTCCCATTCTTCAATAGTGAATGTGCATCCAAAATCAGGAAGGGAAGGGAAGTGAGATCTTTTAGAGAAAGGGAGGAGAAGAAGGACGAATAAATGTCTAAAATTATGGGAGAGAGTGGAGTCTTGGAGAGGCATTTTTTGAATGTTTGAAATAGTTTTTTGAATTTTTGCAATTTAATTTTTGAAAGGAATTTTTGAAATAGTTTGAGCAGCCAGCTGAGCCAGCCAGCTTTGTGGAAGGCCCCTTCCTGTTCAAACATGACTGCGCACCAGTGCAAAAAGTAAGATCCATAAAGACATGGATGGGCGTGTTTGGGGTGGAGGAACTTGACTGGCCTGCACAGAGTCCTGACCTCAACACCTTTGGGATGAATTAGATTGGAGACTGCGAGCCAGGCCTTCTCATCCAAAATCAGTACCTGACCTCACAAATGCGCTTCTGGAAGAACGATCAAAGATTTCCCAGAGACACACTCCTAAACCTTGTGGACGCCTTCCCAGAAGACTTGAAGCTGTTATAGCTGCAAAGGGTGGGCTAACTCAATATTGAACCCTACGGACTGGGATGCCATTAAAGTTCATGTACGTGTAAAGGCAGGCGTCCCAATACTTTTGCCAATATAGTGTATGTCCGTATATATGTCAACAGATTTATGGACATATAAATGAGGAAATAAAGCAATACAAATTATGCAAGAAATTAAAAGTAACGTACAGGCACGAATGAAAAACGGTGCTTAAACTTTTAATTATTTTTTTTATGAAAGGCAAAAGAAAAAATGCCACTGATGGCTTAATTTTGTAAACTATTGCGCAAACTGTTGGCGCTATACAAATCCTCTATAAAAAAAACATTAACAACAAACATTAAAAAAACATAGACAAGGAGGAGGTGGTGGAGGAAGCCACTGTCCTTTAGAGCCATTGGAGAACATCCATGACATTGGTCACCATCTGTAGCTTTTCCCGCATTTCCCCACACATGTGCTTCATCTCCTGGTTACAGCGCTGGAGCTCTGCAACAACCTTGGCAATACTGACCCTGTCAGGTCTTGCTGCTTGTACTTTATCCAATATAAAAAAGATAGAAAATAGAGTAAACAAAACATGTTTCTGGTTTTTAATTAAAGTCTTGGAAAATTAAAACAGTATATACCAGAGGGTGTGAACTCTTGCATTTCAGGAGAATACTCTACCAAGGTCATGATGGGTTCTATGGCAGTGGCTTCTTCCACCACCACCGCTTCCTATAGAGTCTCATGTGCTGCAGCGCTCTGAGCACTGATTTCAGGACACGATGCCCTACGTTTCTTTTCTTTTTCTGCCAAAACAACAAACAAAAACCCATGCAAATAATGCATAGAGGGAAAATAATGTAGGGATGCACGCTTACTTGTTTTGCATGTTGCCTCTCATTTTTGGGTTCGTATGACTGTGTATTTACTATTTGTCCCTTGTAGGGTGTGCTCTGCAATGGTAGGATTAAAGGGTTTCTAAACCCTCCGTTTTTTTGCATATATCTACTGCTAGAAAGCAGTAGATATATCCAAAAAGTAACAAACAAAAAAACGTTTTAAAAGCGGTTTAAACACCCCTGTGTTCGCTGCGCGATCCCGTCCGAAAATCGGAAACTGCTCGGGCGGCCGCACAGCATCTTGGGGCGGGCGCATGCGCAGTTCGGAGACGAGGAGAGACGCAAGGTAAGTCTATGGGCGTGTGCACCCGAATGCAGACACCATGGGACAGGAAGTGCCAGCAAGGACAGAGAAGTCAGTTCTGGATCAGAGACTCGCAGCAGCGCTTGAGAGAAGGCTGAGAAGGACAGGAAAGAAGAGGAAAATCGGATTAAGAGACATCATTTAAGGTAAGTGCTTTAATTAACATTGGGGGGAGGGAAAAAAATTGACTTTAATGTCACTTTAAGGTGGCCATACACCTTACAATCATTGTACAACTTTTTTTATCCAGACATTTTACACTTGTTCAATCTTCGTTCGTTTGCACTAACATGGGATCTTAGTGCTGGTGACATCTGTATTGAACGATATGTACTATTGCACATAAAAGATGCCCCCACAAAAGATGTCACAGGTTACCTATGGCATTTTTTATGGTAGCATGTTTTATGTAGAATATTAACCTTCCCACTTTTCATAGATGCTGCAGTGCCGTCCGTCCGTTTTTTTACTACGGGCGGACGGCAAGAGGTTAATATATATATGGTTACCTGTTAGTAGTGGAGACTGGAGAGTGAGACTGGGGTGGTTCCGGCTATTTGGTCACAGACGACAGCGCGTGGTGGAGACGGAGGATGATTTCTCCATCCCCCTGATGTCACTTCCTCCCACCCAGTCCCAGCCGCGGATGAGAAAACCAGAGGGAGGGACTCCGCCGACTCGACAAATGACGGTGCCGGTGTTCTATCAAATCCTCGGACTCGTAACTTCATTGGACTTCCAGGAGGGTGTCTGGGGGGGGGGTGAAAGACTCTGCACGCATGCACACTGTGGCAAAAGGTCCATTCATTTCACTGACAAATTCATCATAGCCTGGGCTCAGCCGTCCGCGCAAGCGCACTAAGGGCAACTTGTACATAAATCTGACGGACCAATGCTGCTTATTAAAGGCTACAAGTTCTCAACTCTTACGGATGACCACACATGCGCCATTCCATACATCTGCTGGCTAATAAGTATGCGTGGGTCCAACAAAGCTCCTTATGTCACATGGTTACACTTATAAACATTATAAGGAAATATATATAAGCATAGTATATATTTTTAATTTCATTAGATTTTTCTTTATGAACATTATAAGTGTATCTATGCGACATAGAGAGATTTGTTGGACCCACGCATGCTCATTAGCTATCAGGTGTATGGACTGGCACAGAGGAGTGTCAGTGACAGAATAACTGCTGCCATGTCAGAGTAGTGAGTACTTCCTGCCAACACACTTTCAGAGAACTACTGGCAAATAGTTTCTTATATATTTGGTTTTCTGTAAATTAGATCATTTGAATAGCCTGAGTCTATCACAATGACTCAAGTGCTGAACACTCCCTTGTATAACAACAATTTCTCAGGCTTATCATACAACGTGATAACTAAGGTATAGTAGCCATTAGAAGTATTCATAAAAAAACGCATTTTAATCATGTTAAGCAGGTAAGAGCCCAGTGTGTTTGATAACATTGGTAAACATTGTGCAACAATCAAAAGTGAAAACGGTTGAAGGCAAGGTTAGTAACAAATTCCTTGTTCGAAATACCAGGAGTGAAGATTAATACCTGGTACAATGGAGTATGGAGAACATGTGTTTCACTCCTCTTCCTTCCAGTGATGGTACTGGTGCTCAGCAGCTCAGGCACTCAGTGCTGTTACATGGGTGGAGGGGAAGAAAAAGTTTCCGTTCCCCACTTCACTAGATGAAAGGAAAGGAAATATAAGCAGCAACTGTGGCAGACAGGCTGCCCCGCATCAAGTCTGAGCACTTCACATACCCCCGGACACACTCCCGGAAGTCTTATGAAGTTACAAGTAAGAGGGATTCATAGAACACCGGCGCCAGCAAGGAGCCACAAGTCAGTTGTGAATAATGTGCCCAGGCATGAGGCGGGCTTACAATCGGGCACAGGATTCCACACCCAGATTGTCCGGGTGAATCCCAGATGGGTGTCAACCCTAGGTACCCATCCCTCACTCTGGACATTGATTACCTGTAAATAAAAAACAGGTCTATGAAAGGCAAAAACAAAACTCGTCTATATTTCTTTGTTAGTTCTTTGTTTCTTGTATTTGGGGTCTAATGACTCTTCCTTTTGAAAATGTGAAAACTTTAATTAAATTTACAAAATATGAAAAGAATAATGAAAAAAAATTGTGTGGAAAGGGGAAAAAAAGCATTTTTATGCTTTTTTGTGTTTCTTTGTAGCTCCCCGTTGTCTATAAAAAAAATCAACACCCCAAAAATGAAAAACCATAAACAACCACATAAAAAGTTATTTGTTGCGTGTATAGCAGTTCCTGTTGGTCTCTTTGAGGTTCTTCCCAGCTGCCGACAAATACTGCCCAGTTTCAAGGCCTCCCTCTTTGATGAAAAAAAAAAGTATTTA